TATGGATATTCATTCAGAAGACTAAGGATGAAACTTTTGAGAATTTCTAAAGTTGGAATGTTCTAGTCGAAACTCAAACTAGAAGAAAGGTTAAGAGGTTGAGAATCTAAAATGGCCTTGAGTTCAGTGTTAGAGGCCAAATTTCACTTATTTGATCTATCATATATTGGCACCTTTCACTCATTTTTGTCATAAAAGTGTTGAAAACCACTCTTGTTTGGTTTGGTTTGCAATATAGTGTGAAAAGCTCTTGGTACCTTTGATTTTTGTGTTATTGTGCAGAAATTAGGCACAAAACAATTGAAAAGTAAGACACACAAAAAATGGTCAAGGAAACCAAGACAACATGCAAACAACACTCAAGAATTCGCAAAATGCTGTCACGCTCGCTTAGCGAGCTGGTAGCGAGCAAGTAGCGAACGCTCGCTAGCTGCTTGCTTAGCGAGCAGACCAACGAACAACTCGCTAGCTTGCTCGCTTAGCGAGCAGGTAGCGAACGAGCCCAGAATTGGACAGATTTTAAAGCCAAAATTCGCTACATTCGCTAGCTGTTCGCTGTAGAGAACGTGACAGAACCAAATTGGGTATTTAAGTCATTTTCTTGTATTTTTAGGATATAACTCCATTTTTGGGAGAGAACTTCATTTTTTAACATTTTAGAACATCAGAACTCATCTCTCTTCATTTCTTGAGAGAGAGAAACACAAAACCCCAATGGGGAGGAGGTAAGATCTTCGATCTCTTGTTGGGGTTTGGATTGTAATCTTTTGATACATTATGTATTTCATCTAATATATGTTTGTGAACTTATTTTGGATTCTCTATTGATTGAATATCTTTGATTATGTATTTGTGGATCTTGACAAAACCTTTTCACATCTTTGATCTCAGATCTTCTTCTATCAATGAACAAACTTTTGACATGGTTTTGAAGTTGATATTCATTTTATCTTCTATGGTGTTGTGTTGATTAAGTAGCATGGGTAGGATCAATATGATATTGTGTGGGTATGTGATAATAGTGATGAGGAATGATGTTCACAACCATTTGGCGGATTAGATGAATACATGTAAAAAGGGTTAAGCGTGTGTACGTATTCTAATCATTGTATTTTATGCAAAATAATTGTTTATCTGATATGGGTTTCATTCTTGTTTACCTGTTAATCTTTGATTTGAATCGTGATAGAGATATACTTTTCGGATCTGTATCTAGGATGATTGCCTGTTAGGTCCTAAACGCTAGAGATAGATTTATGCTTAGCATTTGCGTGAGTATCAGTTCCTAATGCTCTGTGTTGTGTTTTTGTTAGGTGAGAGATCACCAATGAGACAACATAGTTGTTCTCTCGATGCCGCGTTAGAAATAAGCTTTGTCGTGATTCATACGTGATGATATTAGACGAATGATTGTGTTGTGTTTAATTTGATTAGAAGAATGCATGTGTTATCAATTGATGAAATCCAATCCCAACAAGGCTCCGTTTATATTTCAGTTTTTATTTTATAATTTCTACTTTTATCTATGGTTCCCTGAACCCTTTAAACCAAACCTTTTGAAATTAAGCTTAGAAATGCAGAAATCGTTGAACGGCGTTCATATCGCACTAATCCCTGTGGAGACGACAAAACTGGATACTTAATACTTTTTGCTTTCTGCTTTACCGCATCAATATTCAGCAACGGAGCTTGTGACAGTTACTGTGTTGAGTCTGGAATTGCAAGGCATAAGATTGTAGAAGGTATTCCTCAACAAAATGGCTTAGCTAAGAGATTCAATCGAACAATCCTTGAAAGGATTAGATGCATGTTTGTTAATGCTGGATTGAAGAAGGTGGTTTGGACAGAGCTTGTTTTGACAACAACTTATTTGATAAATAGATTTCCCTCAACTTCCCTGAGGATGAAGACACCTAAAGAAGTTTGGTCGGGTCAACCACGTGATCTCAAAAAACTGAGAGTATTTGGTTGTTTAGCCTATGCTCACATTGGGAAAGACAAGGTTGAACCTAGAGCTCTGGGATGCATGTTCCTTGGATATCCTTAGAGAGTCAAGGGTTATAGGTTATGGTGCCTAGAACCAGGTCACAGGAGATGTATCACAGGTCATGATGTAGTTTTCAATGAAGTCGAGATGGCGTTCAAAAAAACTGGTGATGATGGTCGAAGTGTAGAAATCTCTGAAGAAGAGCTAGAACAGGTAGAGATACCTGTTGAGGTGGAGCATAATGATGCTGGAGTGAATAAACCAGATGAAGCCGAAGAAGAAGAGAAAAATGCTAAGGAGACTGAGGAAACTGTCGATGACAACCTGCTGGCAAGAAATAGGTCGAAAAGAGTAATCAAGCCACCTTAGAGAATTGGTTATGCAGATCTTATAACTTTTGCCTTAATCTCTACAAGTGAGGTACTTGAGGAAGAACCTAGAGATTACAAGGAACTTATGAGGAGTTGAAATCAGACTGAATGGCGAAAAGTTATGGATGAAGAGATGAAATCTCTTCATGATAATGACACTTCAGAGCTGATTGAGAAACCTACAGAAGCAAGGTTAGTCAGTTGTAAGAGGATTTTCAAGGTCAAGGAAGGAATCGAGGATGCGATGAAGGTGAAGGTTGAACTCAATAAGGATTTCGAAATGAAGGATCTGAGAGCTTCTATCAGGATTCTTGGGATTGACATTTGGAAAGATAGAAAGCAATCGAAGTTATTCTTATCTCAAGAGACATGGTTACGGAAGCTTCTCGACAAGTTTGGCATGTGGAATTCAAAGCCTGTTATTACACTGACAAATCCTCAGTTTAAGCTTAGTAATACTCAAAGTCAGAGTACTGAAGTTGAAAGAATCTATATGAGTAGAATTCCATATGCTAGTGTAGTAGGTTCTTTGATGTATGTTATGGTCTATACGAGGCCAGACATAACATATAAAGTGAGCCTTGTAAGCAAGTATATGGTCAATCCTGGAAAGGCACACTAGCAAGTTGTAAAGTGGATTCTCAGGTACATAAATGGGTCTCTGAAAAGAGTTTTGATTTATGGTGGAGCCTGTGGTAGTGATAGCATAGTCAAAATCGAAGGATTTGTCGACTCTGATTATGCAAGTTGCATGGATTCCAGAAAGTTTATTTCTGGATATGTGTTCACTTTGTTTGGCACAACAATCAGTTGGAAAGCAACGCTTCAAAAGGTTGTTGCCTTATCAACCATAGAAGCCGACTATATTGCCCTCACTGAAGTTGTGAAAGAAACATTGTGGCTTGAAGGTTTTGCAAAGGAGCTGAAACTTCAAGGTCGAAGTATCACTATTAAATGTGATAGTCAAAATGAACTACATCTGTCGAAGAACTCAGCCTATCATGAGAGAACAAAGCACATCTATGTGAGGCTGCACTTCGTCAGAGAGATAATCGAGTGTGGTGAAGCTCAGGTGCTGAAGGTTTTGACTGATGATAATATTGCTGATATGATCACTAAGACGTTGCCAAGTTGCAAGTTTTTCCACTGTATACAACTAATAAATTTGCATGATAAAAGCTAGTTTATTCCCTGTTGTTTTTTGAGTTAGATCCAAGGTGGAGATTTGTGAGATTTTGGGTCGAACTCAAGCTTTGTCGAGGAATAACTTTCTTGTATTTCGACAGGAGACAAGCATGAAGTCGAAGATGGGTCGCATGTTGTGGTCGAATGATACATATTATAGTCGAAGTCTATTCTAATATGTATTGTCGAAATGTTTGTCGAATTTTCCCTTTTGTTATGGATCCAATTGTTTAGTTAGGTTGGGTTGCAAGTTATCTAGTTAGTCTATATATAGGCTAGAACACTCAGTTTGTTGAGTGTGGTCAGATTGTGTTATTCATTTATAATCTTTTGTAATATTGAAAAGTGAATAGTATAATAATTTGCCATAATCCTTCTTCTTCTTCTTCTTCTTCTTTCTTTATCATTTCTTCATTCTCTCTTTGTTATAACTGATTTCATTGTTCACCCAAGAGCTCCGTTTCTCAATCTTAATTTGTTGAAAGATATCGTTTGTGATCACAATAATATATATATATATATATATATATATATATATATATATATATATATATATATATATATATATATATATATATATATATATATATATATATATATATATATATATATATATATATATATATATATATATATATATATATATATATATATATATATATATATATATATATATATATATATATATATATATATATATATATATATATATATATATATATATATATATATATATAAAGACAAAACATGATTTTTATGTAGCTTTTTTTTATCTTTTAAATATATTTTTTTCAAATTTTATCTTCTTTTTTGAACAAATGGTGGTTATTTTATGTAGCTTTTTTTTATCTTTTAAATATATTTTTTTCAATTTTTATTTCAAATTTTATCTCTTTTTCTAATAAATGGTGGTTATGTAACGATTTATTATCTTTTATATATTTATCTATTACTATTATTTTATGAAATAGATAATAATTAATAAAATAAAAATAAAAATATAATTTATATTTTACGCGCAGCATGAGTAAAAAGGATAAGAATACAAGAAAATGGATAATACACTATCATATTATTTTTACGCAGTCAAACAAAAACGATTATAAATTCCGTTGCATCACACTGATATTTAAAAAAATATATAATAATATAATAAATTATTGATTTTTTATTCAATGACAGTATAAAACTATTTTAGTGTCATGTATTTCGATTAATCCGTGAGATTAAATTAAAGGGTAAAGTTAATGAACTATTTTGCCAATACACCACAAATTAAAAACTTATCAAAACATAAAATATTGATGGTTAGAGTAATCGACTACAAGAGCATAACATAAATTATCTTCCGAACAAGAATCACCGTTCAATTCATAATCTCAAGAATATTCACATCTTAGACATAACAGATTTACAAAATCAGAAACAAATTAAGATAACAAGTTGATTAAAAACAGTCACCACCCTTGAATTGGCCAGCGTTTGTCTGGATCTGGAAGCCAAGAAGAACGTTTCTTTTCCTTCTTCTCCTTCTTCTCCACCACCTCGTTCCCTTCGTGGGTAGTGGAAGTTTTTGTGAGAGTTAAGACCTTACTTAGAAACCCAATACCTTTGTTATTCTTCTTGTGTTCATCTTCCTCATCAAGCTTCGTGGATTGTGAAAGTCTTTCATAGCCAGCGATTTTAGCACATTCTGAAGTCACAGATTCAGATGAAAGTAATATGCGTTCTGATCTCGACATACTAAAGCTTCTTCTAAATTCCATAAACTCAAATTGAGATAACACAAGTGTTTTTTTATTTGAAACAACAACCACCGAACGAGGATATATGTTTGGTTAAATAGTACTATGTTGTTATTCGGAAATGTTAATGATGGTAATATATAGTTAGTTACATTACATGTTACTTGTTACTTTTAGGAAGGAAACGACGGTCAACTTTATGTGGACAATGTTTAGTAACTGTGTCATTGATGACTTTAGTTTTAACTTGTTAGGTCATGCGTGATGAGGTTGATTGAGAGAGACGTAAGTATATGGAAAACCATAGAATACAGCTTGGAATTTTGGAGGATTATTATTCTTTCTTTTTTGTCTCTATGTTTTACTTTGCTTAGATATGTTTTTGACTTTTCTACGCGTTGCATAATTCAATGGTCAAAAAAGATTGCAAGGCAACTTATTTGTTTTTTTTATCTAAGTACGAGTTTTTTTATCAAGCAATCATTCTTAAAAGTTGTTGCCACTCAATAGTGACACTCATTAAGAACATGCTTTTTGAATTTAAGAATTTTTTTTGTTAGAGGTGTTCTTATGACCTAAGTTTTGATTGGGATATTTTTATTAACTTAAATCCGACTTAAGCTTGAAAAATATCAAATCAAAATTAGTCCTTTCATAAGTGGTAAGACCAAACAAGTGCACCAACTATATCCACTTATGGTGCTAAAATTTTTTTATCTTATGCTAACAAGCTACTCATAAAAAAAATTGTTGTTTTGAAATCGTAACGTATCCAAAAGATTGGATCAACCCAAGAATGTTTAGATGAAATATACAAATTTCTTTTAGTTTAACCAAAATCTCAAGTATGAACATGTGTTTGGGCATTCTGCAGCATTAAAATTTCTACAGAGTGTTTGCCAACCATCTTCTAGTCATCTTTGGATTAAGGTTTGGAGTAAGGTAATTCCTTCAAAAAAAAATGTCAGGTTTTTAAAAGAGAATTTTTACAAAAGATAATTTAGTTAAAAGGGGAGTGTTAACTCAGTGGTAGGTAGGATGTGTTGGAGAGTGTGGGAGTGATTATTTGATATTTCACATTGTGTCCGATTTTTGTAGGTGTTTGGAACTCCATATATATAACTAAATTGATGTAGCTACAGCCTTTTCTAATGACAGATGTCCGTAGTTGAAGCTGTTTGAAAGCTTGATAGGCAGCGGAAGTACGTCAACTACAAAGTTAGCCATTATTTGGACAGCTTTCGTCGGGAGCATTTGGAAGGAAGGAAGTATAAGAATGATAAAGTTTTCTGAAACAAGGAGATTTAAAGTGAAAAAATAGTAAAGGAGACAAAAATATCAACATGGAAATGGTTTAGAATAAAGTCAAATACAATATCTCATGACATAGGGAATGTGGTGTATGAATCATTAAGAGTGTCTCAGCATCTCGGACACTTGATCAAGTTTTTTGACTGTAGCACTGTCACACTGTTACTTTTCTGAAATTTTATCTTGAGAGGTGTTTTGGTTTCGGAAATCGAACTGTTGTTATCTTGCAGCTTTACTGAATCGTGTTTTAGTTTTTCTCTTAGGGGCTGGTGGTTGGCGTGTATTTCTTTGCTGAGAGTCCAGTTTGGTTTGGGCGTTAGTAGTAGCTACTATCACAGAGATGTGCACGAGTCGTGGTGTTCTGAGGGGCTGGTACGTTTTTCTTCGCTGAGGCTCCAGTTTGGTCTGGGCGTTAGTAGTAGCTAATATCACAGAGATATGCTTGAGTTGTGGTGTTCTGAGGGGCTGTTGCAGCTGTAATTTGTAAGCCAGAAATTTGTTTAAACATATGCTAAAGCATTTTTGCTTACTTTTCACCTAAAATTTAAAAGTTTAACATGAACTATAAGTATGAGGGCTCGGTTAATCCACACACTGCTATACATACAGGTGCATATCTAATGTTTCAGATACAAACATATGGCATAATGATTTCTAGCTTAATTTACATACATAGATGCCACAAGCTGAACATGGAGCTGGGTTGGTTGGGAAGATGAGGGAAAAACCAAAGAACTAAAGACATAAGAATACTTTTATTGTATTCATCTGCGGCTAATGTCTTCGCAATAGTTATTGTTCACAGTTCATTGGAGTAGAGACACTCGTCCACAAGCTGGCGTAGGTTTGGATTCTCTAAGGCGGCAGCAATTCTTTCTTTATCATTTAATTGCTTATTGACTGCATGAAAATATTATTAGAAGTTCATGTTCTAAGAAGATAAGATCGTGTAAAATTTTAGTTTGTATGAGAATTTAATTGCTTATTGACTACAATCTTAGATGTTATTGTTTTAACATATTTTTAAATTTTACCTGATTCTTCATTGGTGTGAGATCCTTCAGACACTTTGATGTCCACCTGCAAAGAAGAATTTGAGTAACAAATGAGATTACAAACAGAGAGAATACAATAATACTATGATATAAGAGAAGAGTGCAGGCGAGAAGAGTATTCAAGAGATGACTCAGATTCCCTGCATTGGAGGTTTCACACGATTACACACAATAGTTAACCCCATTCATTGATTTCAAACCGGACCGTTCTAATTACATAGTTTTTAAAATGAATTTAAACAATCTTAGTCATTGATTTAGAATAGACAACCGAAATCTATAATGTAACTGCATACCACTTTCTAATATGTACATAAAAAATAGGGGAAGAATATCAAACCATGTGAATATAGGGGCAATAAGAAATTACTGTCGCATACTCGTTTGGCATCAAAATATGCATTTATTGATACCTCAATAGAAACTACAAACTTGCAAACATGACGTTCTTATTGATATATCCCACCACAGTTAAGAACCTCAAATAGAATATAATTTATTTGGTGATTAACTTAATTACATTGTACATGGTGCAAGAATCGCATCCCCTGGAGTCATAGCTCATAAGTCTATTCAAGTATGATCAATCTGGAAACATAATTTGAGAACATAGCTTAATTTTAGTATATAGACATAGAGAATTCTCTACTGCTAACATAGAGAATTCTTGAATAGCTTTCTATCTTCACTCTTAGGTGACAATGTTCTAAAGAAATACTTTAATAACTTATTTTTGTGTAAGCATGTGACTTAGAGATCACATGTATAAGTTATAGGATTCAGCCAGTTATAATACAAGGTAAGATTGTGTATTGTAAACCGATCCTTCTCTGTTTTTATAGCACCAGGTTTGTGCATTTGAATAATAAACCATGCCTTTGTTTTCACTTCTTAATGCCTCTCCTATACTCTCTTTCATTAGGTTGTTCTAACCATCCTTTTTGTATGGAGAGAGTGGTCCTAGTAATCTGAAGTCTGACAAGAAGATAACTAAAATCTAACCAGTAATTAATCCAACCAAGAATCAAATTTGGTTACTCTTGATCAATTCGATTTTAACTACAGTTCATTAACAACTTGAGTCCAACCACTAGGTTAAAATGGAATTTTCTTATATTGTCTCATCTCATCAAGTTTTAATTTTCACAAAATTCAATTTTGCACAGCATTTGGTTTGAAAATTACTTGTATTCATGACGTAAAAAACTCTTTTCTTACTTTAAAAATGCTTTAGTTGAAAATTACTAACTCTTACAAGTCCAAAACACCTACACTCTTTCAAGAAAAATAGTAGAAATGTTATCTTCACATTATACACTGACGTAACTCCTACACAAACTCAATCTCCACAAGTTTTGGATGTTTTAAAAGTCCAGGAGTGGTGTACCAGTTTCCATATAAGAAATGTACGAGATTGATGTGCAATTTACAACATTTGAAAGAAACACTGTAAGAGTGTAAAAACTAGTTAATCAAAGTGTGTTTGGATTCACATTATGTTGGGTGGAATATCAGTGGTGCCACCATGATTTTCCCCAAAGCTACCTATGAAACACTTGACACGTCGACACCGATAATACTACACAACAACAACCAAACTTTATCCCACTATATGGGGTTGGCTACATGGATCAAATTCCACCATAATGTTCTATCCAAGACCATGCTTCTATCCAATTCGTTGATCTCAAGATCTTATATAATAGTTTCTCCTATAGTTTTTTTAGGTCTTCCTCTATCTCTAATTGTTTGACTTTTCTCTATATGATCTACTTTCCTTACAATAGAATCTACAAGTCTTTTCTCTACATGCCCAAACCACCTAAACTTACTTTCTACCATCTTTTCTACGATAGATATTATCCCAACACTCTCTTGAATATTGTCATTTCTTTATCTCGTCTATCTTACCACACATCCAACACAACAACCTCATCTCTACAAACACAAACACGCATTCGTGTAGAAGTAGGTGCTTCATAGAAAGCTACACTTCAGACTCTCAACCAAATCTTAACATCACAGTGATTTTGCAAAACTCACATTCAATCAAACACAAAACAAGGTAACAAACAAACTAAACAAAAACCATATATCCATCCATTCACAACACATGAATACATAACAATAACCAGTGAAGCAAAAGGGTTGATAGAGAACAAACTTTGAAATGAGGAGGAAAATAGTGCTTGAGCTTAACTCTGAGACAAAGACCAATCACAGTAACCATGCTACAGTGTGGAACAGTTGGCTTAAAAGTTATCCTGCACAAATACAACTTCAAATTCACACTTACATCAAATCAAACCTTTCACAAATCCCAAAACATAAGAACAATTAAAACTAAAACTCACAGAATCCTCCCCAATTTGTCATCAACAGAAATCGATTCTTCAGAAAGAACATTAAGCTGCTCCAAAGAATAAGGATGTTCAGGATCCCTAATATCCCTCACGAAATTTGCCAAATCAAAGTCAAGGATCCGAAAAACACATGCATAATTTGAATTTCAACTCAAGTAAATAATTGAAGAGAAAAAATGAAATAAAAGAAGGATATCATAAATATCGAGAGGATCAACGGAATCATCGGTGTGAGGAGGATCTTCGGAACGAGCGATTCTCTCTTTTTTGGCGTGAACTACGGGATTGGCATTGATCAAACCTAGTGTCATCGTTTTCAAAAGTAACGGAATTTCTTCTTCTTTTTCTTCTTGCAAGTTCAGTGTGATGATAGATGAATGATGTGATGATGTTAGTCGGAATCAGTCTGCATCATTTCGCTTTTGGTCTACTTTATACATGTCTGTTTGTTCGATTTTGGTAGCAGAAAGCCACGGTTTTCTTTTCTAAATAATATTTATTTATTTTTGTTTATTTAGGTGAATTTTTATCTTAGATGTTTCTCACTTCTAATGTCATGATTTTTATTTCGCAATTGTTGTGGCTGCTTCTCAATGCTTATAAGATGATTAGTCATTTTCATTTATTGAATTTTTTTTTGCGATAGTGTAGGTATCTAATAATTTATTTTCTTTTGCATGGTCAAAATGTCTCTGTTTTTTTTAGTCATTTTGACTATTTCACTCTTCATTTGCAAGTTTTTTTTTCAACCTCTTTTTCCTTATATTTGATTTTTGTCTTGAGGAGAAATCTGAACAACTTTTCTTTTCTTGACTAAACCTTCAACAACATCCTTAACTTGTTCTTTTTTAAACTATGTGTTGATGCATTCTTGTAAAGATACACTCTCTTGATACATTCAATGATGTGTAATCTCTATATCGGAAGATAGTGTTCACTTGGCCTCTCGGTTGGTTTGTGAATATTTCTTGACTTCGCCCCCTCTTTTTATTTTTCTATTTGTTTTTTTTTGTCCCTTTTGCATGTTTTTTGCTTCTCAAACTCTCTGTCATAAATTACCTTATTGACACTCAACTTTACCTTGTATGAAATTTTCTATTACTGTCAGTAGGTTGTTAAAGGCTTTACGAACCCTGATTCTAATACTTTCGAAAAGTCTGGACACTTGTTAAGTCTTAGACTTGATATGTGCTTTTTCATCTTCTCGCTGGCAACATGACCAATATCGTTTCTCTATTGAACCTCTAGATGTAGGATCATAATGGATCAAATTCCCATTGTTTGATGGATATTAGGCTTTCCACTAACATGGGTTGCCTTCTCGATGCCATCAAGTGTACAAAAAATAAGCATTTCATGGGTCCGATGAAGACACTGTCACTTGGTGGTTCATATTACTTTGTGACTTTCATTGAAGATTATTCTTGGAAAACATGAGGTTATCCCTGAAGACGAAAAATGAAGTCTTTGATAACTTCAAGTCGTTTCAAACATTGTTTGAAAGAGAAACGGGTAAAAAGCTCAAGTGTATCTGAATCGATAATAAAGGAGAGTATGTTGGACCTTTCAACAAGTATTGTTAAGATCAAGGTATACATCGTCAAAAGTATCCTTTAAAGACACCACAATTGAATGAGTTCCACGAAAGAATGAATAAAACTTTGATGGAAAGGGTGAGATGTTTACTTTCTCAATCAAAGTTGCTGAAATACTTTTGGGGAGAGGCATTGAGCATGTTTTACATCTTTTAAACCTTAATTCATGTGTTTTGTTGAAATTTGATGTTCCAAATCATATTTGGAGTGGTAAAGATGTTTCCTACAACCATCTTCGGGTGTTTGGGTGCTTGGCTTATCAACATATTTCAAAGGATGAGAGATCAAAATTAGATGAGAAGTAAAAGAAATGTGTGTTTATTGGGTATGGACTTCATGATTTTGGGTATCGGTTTTTTGATCTGGTTCAACGGAAGCTTTTCCAATCGATAAAGATAGATAGAGAGAGAGATCAAGATTTGTTTAGGCAGTTCCTTAATCGGCCTCGCTATGGATACGTTTGTCCTTAATTCAAATTCGAATTGAGATAATGTTATTAACCTTTTCTTTGCAAAATCGTTTATACAAGAGATGAAAAATTCAAACCCCAAAAACCTCATTTTTTATGTTGATTCTTCCACCTCTAACCCTTGATCAAAGTTTGATCAAGTGATCAATAATGCAACTACAATCCTTCGACTATCCTAAGCGTGCAACTTGTTGAAATCCAAGATTCTCGAACACAATTCACCGTCTCGCGTTACTCCCTTGCAAGGAAACTACCTTGTCCCAAGGCTTTCACTTGGTCGAATCTGTGTTGACGTGATCTTATCCAAAACCTTCAAATCAATATGATCTTGAAGGAAACCCCCACCTTAGTTTTCTTATTTGAAACACACAAAGTTTTCAACCCAATATTCTCGATTACACCAAACTTAATTGGACGTTATCAACCCTAATCTAGATGGTCACCCAATTGAAAAATGATTATGTTTAGTTCGATTGTATGTATGCATAGAAGAAGGGATGAAGATGATGGATAGCTTTGTAACAAGTTTCGTTTAGGTTTTATTCACTAGGAAACCTTACCTAGAAGATGATGCATGTATGAGTATATATAAGTAAATGAATGAATGGGAAAAAGGAATGCAAAACGCTGCAGCAACACTAAACTTTTTGGATGGGAAAAACATATAGTCCGACCTATGAAAGAAATGAGTCGGCCTATGCGTGTTGTTCAGGTTTGTTTGTGAAGGTCATAGGTCGGCCTATCAGGTAGCCTGTGAGGCGACCTATGGGCAGAACCTACAGGCTTTAATACTATTCCATGGGAGCCGACCTAAAGGATCCATGTGCCGACCTATACTGAAGTTAAGGCTCGTATAGGTCGGCCCGTTCTTGCATAGGTCGATCTGAAATGGATTTGAACGCCCAAAAACATGTTTTTTAATGCACATATGATGTTGACTCCTTTTCAAACTGATTTAAATGTATCCTAATGTCAAGATGCATATCTATAATGAGAGGATACCGTCCAATATGCATAATGTTATACTTTCTTAGTTTTGACATCACTCAAAATATACAAGTACACACATACTCCCTTTTTTTTATGATGGCAAAACATGAGACGATGTGTTTAATGACGTTGTTGTCTTTTTGAAGACCCCCCTAAATATGTGCATGCTCCTCCTTCATTTTGTATACTTCTCCCCCTTTTACAACATCAAAAAGAGAACAAGAAAACAATTAGAAGTACCGATAATCAGAAACAAACACAAAATACCATACAGAGGCAATTTGCAAAGAGAAGAATATCAATATGAAATCACTCACATAGAATGATATGTGTATTAATTTACAATGCCTAAACACAAATAAAATCACATTAAAGAACAATAGAACATAATTGCCACTCATTGTTCTAAATAAGATAAAATAACATGAATAATGAAGGATATAACGTAAAAACAAACCCTTGAGCTGCTACAAAAGCGACACGATTACGTGACATATGCTTTTGGTACTCCTGAAATGTTGCACACGCTTGTGCTCTAGCAAGGCGATAAACGAAGTCATCGCCACTCAAACCAAAAATAGAGATGTAACCATATTGGTGACACACAACAATAATTCATTCAAAATCATAACATGTTAAACCAAAGCTTGTGAAAAATACATAACAAGTCAAATAGTCTAGAGTAAGAGTATATAAAGTGCATGCAATAAAATGATATGTTAGGCAAGATTAGAGATATCGAGTATCTCTAATTCTCTTCGGATGTTGAAAAATGGTTCGATCATAAGTGATTTTGTGAAAATAGTTATAAGTTGATGTTTACTATTAATATGCTTGACTACGAAATCACATTTTTCAACATTATCACGTAGGAAATGATGGTGAATCTCAATATGCTTAGCGCGTGAATGTAGCACCAGATTCTTAGTTAGGTTTATAGCGCTAGTGTTGTTACACATAATGGGAATATGTTGCAAGTTTATATCAAAATCAAGTAATTGTTGCTTGAGCCATAATATTTTGGCACAACAACTACCAACCACAACATATTCCGCTTCGGCAGTTGACAATGCAATAGAAACTTGCTTCTTACTATGCCACCTTACTAAGGCATTTGAAAACATGTGGCAAGTTCCACTAGTGCTTTTCCTATCCAATTTGTAACCATAAAAATCAGAGTCAGTGCATCCAACCAAGTTACAATCGCTTCCTTTGGAATACCAAAACCCATATTGAGAAGTACCGTGAAGAAACATAAGAATACGCTTTACGACTTTTAAGTGAGATTCCTTAGAAGTTAATTGATAACGGGGACACATGCATATGCTAAACATGATATATGGCTTAGATGCAATAAGATATAGAAGAGAGCTGATCATACCTCTATATTTCTTCACATCTACATCCTTACCGTTTGAGTTCTTTTCCCAATTATCATTTGTGGCCATAGGTGTATCGATAGACTTTGCATCTTCCATGCCAAAGCATTTTAGCAATTCTTTGCAATACTTCGTTTGACACATCAATGTACCATCTTTCAATTGCTTGATTTGAAGCCCAAAAAAGTAATTCAACTCCCCCATGAGGCTCATCTCAAACTCTCCCTGCATAATCTTGGAGAACTCTTCTATAAGTTGCACATTAGTTGATCCAAATATAATATCATCAACGTAAACTTGAATTAGAAAGGTGTGCTTCCATTGGCGCTTAATGAATAGAGTAGTATCTACTTTTCCCCTTGAGTAACCTGGGTCGATTAAAAATTTTCTTAGTCGCTCATACCAATCCCTAAGGGCTTGTTTGAGACCATACAAAGCTTTTTTAAGCTTGTACACATAGTTTGGATACTCATGACTTTCAAAACCGGGAGGTTGAGCTATATACACTACTTCATTAATAAAGTCATTTAGAAACCCATTTTTCACGTCCATTTGATATAACTTGAAGTTCTTATCACAAGCATAGGCTAGTAGAAGACATATAGCCTCAAGTCGAGCCACCAGATCATAAGTTTCCTCATAATTGATGCCCTCCTCTTTGTTATAGCTTTACGCCACTAGTCGGGCCTTATTTCAGGTTATCACCCTATTTTTATCAAGTTTGTTCCTAAAAACCCATTAGGTTCCGATTACTTGATGATCTTTAGGACGAGGGACAAGGTCCCAAACGTCGTTTCTTTTAAATTGATTTAGTTCATCTTACATGGCCATAAGCCAATGCTCATCAAGCAATGTATCTTTAGCATTTTAGGCTCTAC